CAACTATATTTGTTTAATTTAATTAATATGCTCATAACTTTTAATATTTGTTCAGTCCAACAGCTATTGAATTCTAGTTGCGTCCCCAACCATGAATCCAATACTAAAGTGTAATTATAGAAAATCAGAAAATTTAACTCATTTAATTCATTACTTCACTTAAGATATCTGTCTTATGGTATGTTGACTTATAGGTTATTGCAGATTAGGAAACCATTGTAGAAGATTAAATCTCCCTTTCAAATATATCTCTCGAAGTTGTAAAAAGAAGGATGAGAGTGCTTTTCATGTGTTTTGTTCTTGCCTAGCATATACTCGGCGCCGACTTATTACTCTACGAGCCTCATTTTTTCCCATTAAATAATATTTTAAGCTTACCAAATATTAAAGGTGGTTTTAAGTCTCTAAGTTTGTCCCTTATACATATATTGACCCCATAAGTAAATCAACACTGGTTGAATCTAGAAATTTTCAGTATGTCCCCGCAACTTTTTATAGACAGTTGAGGACATCATATGTTAAAAATAAAAACTTATAGTATCTCAAACAGTAGTGAGTTGTAACAATAAAAATTTTATTTTCAATTAATTGAATTTTTTGGCTGATCTGTTTGCAGTATTCTTCAACACCTATGTTAGTTTGAGTGATCTCTTAAAATAAATATTTTTGATTTATTAGGCTGCATATTATTTTATGGACTGCTAATACAGGGTTTAAAATTTTGAAATTGTCAAATTTTTAAAGTACTGACAAGACTCATGTAACAATTCTTCGGTACTCAAAATTTACGTCTTTTTTTTTATTAATTTTTCTATTTTCTGATATCAATTTTAATAATTATTATTGCTTGCTTTTTAATGATGTTTCGACAGTTTTGAGAAGCTCAGTAAGAGAAGTTTCTCCAAGTGATTTTTGATAGGAGACGGTGAATGGACTTTGTTTAATATAAGTAATCCGTGGTAGGTGTATAATTTTCAATATTGTCCTCATCATAATCAGATTCACCACTATTATTTATACATAAGTACAGAAAATTAAGCTTCGTGACTATTATAACTTGTATCTTGTTGACTTGCTTTCTAATAATTCGAACCGCTTGTTTATTACATGTTGTAAAATTTCTTTATTAGTTACATGACCCATAATGCACACGTTCTCATCGATACCTGTGTAGCCGTTCCAGGAAATATTATTAGCACTATCGATTTTAATAAAACGAGTCTAAATTTTCCTTAAATCGGGAATAGCACACAAATCTTACACTTCCCAATCGTCTAAATTGTTTATCAATATACTTTTAATAAAACCGGCTTTGCTAAAACATAAAGAAATTGTTTTTTGTGAAACTTGTGTATTTCATGATTTACAAAAATCTTTTATTACATCTAGCAAAGTAAAGGAAACGAAATCAATTGCATCTATATTGTCGAGAAATTTCAAAACAATCGTTTTTCAATAGTGGTGTTTAAGATTTTTTTATGATGCATTCGTCCAGGGGTTGCAATACTGATGTCGTGTTAGGAGAAAGAAACGCAAGTTTCATGTTTTTTGATTTATCCCAAAGGTGTACCATACAGTTGTCAATACAAAATAATATTTTTCTTTTTTTATAAACCGAAGTTTTTATCGAGAACAAGGAGCCACTGTTCAAATATTTTTGTAGTCATCCAGGTTTTTGTATTCGCAATATAATCAGCATCAAGAGACTTAAGGTTCTTTAGGCACCATGCATATTTAGATTTTCCGATTATCAACAATTTGATTTCTTGAGCCATCCATGTTGAAAGCTACTAGTACTAACAATCTTTCATTATTGCATTTTCCTCCAAAACAGTTGTCATTTTTGAATGTTAAAGTTTTGTTAGGTAGGCATTTATAAAAAATCGTAAATTCATTGGAGTTGTAAATATCCTTTTCATTGTATTGCTCAATAATTTAGACAATGTATTATTACAGTTCCCGCCGCTAATGACCTTGTAGATAATACCGTGGTGTAGTCTAAATTTATTTAATGCTAAGAAATCTGAACGTCCGAAAGCGTCTACAAACTGCTCTCTAATAATACTACTAATTATCCATTGTAACATAGTTTCATCCACGTCATCATATTTACATATTGTAACCCGTTTACGTTTATTATTACCAAACTTTCTTTTCAAGTTGTCCTTATTTTTTTAAATCGTTGATAAGGTGCTACAAAGAATTCCAATTTTTTTTTTGTCCCTTTTTTCGACTTTAATAATTAAATTAATTTTTTCAGTGATTGTTAAACATTTCAAAATTATTTTACCCATGTTTGTGATTAAAAAGTATTTGAAAATGTAATAGCAAAACAAAAAATTCCAGTTGTGGAGATAAAGTTAAAGCGGAAAGTGGTGTAAAGCTGTGTAACGTTTAACTTTGAGAAACGGAAATATTCGAGTTAGGGGAATTCAACTTACGGGAAAAAAATACAAAAAGAATTGAAAATTCAAATTTCATACTTGAGTTATTTCGTTTGAGTTGAGTTAATTAGAGATATTTTACTGTATTTGTCTTTTACTTGCCGACACACAAATTACTCATACATTTCGAGTTTTAATTTGAAATGCAAAAATAACTATTATTCTTGCGTTAAAAACGAAAAACGCAGAAATAATTTTTATTCTTTTAGGTAAAAATAAAATTATTAGTAATTAAAATAATTTAGTTTTAAAAAGCAGAGCAAAATAAAACTCATTTTATGTATAAAGTTGTTGTGCTATCTGAATAACTATTATCTTTGAAAAATATAAAAAAAGGAAAATTTAAGTAATATTAAATGATAATGTAATGTAATATTTGTTGTACTAATATGTACATATATCAATTCCTTACTTAATAGTTACAATTCTTAAACACGTACATTATATGAAATTTAAATGTTTCCAGGACAATCTTTAGATAGCGTATTTTGAACTTTATTATGTGTTATTGTAAACCATTTTTCAGCCATAATGTGCAAACTATTACAAGAACATACAGCTAATTCTTTATCTGGACTCACTGAAATATCAGTTTCAATCACAACACATACTTAAATTACATTTCTTATAAACACACAACCCCAAACATAACACACTGGTTAAAAATCGATTTTGTAGTAAAGATCTGCAAAAATGAGTATTCAACATTTGGATCATATTTAATTATTAACTGCATTTTACTTATACTCATTTTGACTTTGTTTTTCGCATACTCAACTTCACCTGACTAATACATAAAGCGCAAATTACTTATACTCTTTCAAATGATACTCCTTAATACTTATACTCATCACAGATATGTATGATACGTATAGGGCGGCAAAAATTTGCCCGAAATTTGCAAATTTTATAAATGAAGATTTAACTAAATTTTTTGCTTATGAGATTATTTAGATAACAGTACCAGTTTGTATTTTTCCTTAGGACTAATTTCAACTATTTATCTAGTTCTACCTGATTTAAAGGAAAATTATATTAATCTGAGTTAATCATAAACGCAAAATTAAAAATAAAAAAATTTATTTTAATATGATATTTTAGAACTTTAATTAATAAATCTCATATAAATTACAACGATATATCGATATATACAGAAATGTTTGAAATTGTTACTAAAATATTTATAAAAAATTAGAGAAATAAGTTATTTTTGTTTCACTTATACACCAGTTACCAATTTCGCAATAAAATATAAAATAACCCCTAATTTAATCTCAATAACTACAAAACTATTATGTGACCAATATCACAATCATTACCTGCACTAAAATGTATTGATTTATACACTCGAGTATATGATACTCGTATACTAATTGCTTGTATACTAATTGTATACTATTCTACTTAGAAAATTATTCACAATCTTGTAAAGCTGATTTGTTAACGCCGGCCCTTATTGACTGAAATACTTATAAATCGTTTGTTTGGTGAGTATAAGTGCGTATAAGTAACGTATGAGAAAAGTACTTATATGCACTTATACATGCTTTTTATGAGTATACTTTAGTATTAAAATGTTGTCGTTTTGTGAAGCTATTCTAAGCACATTCGAAATTTATATTTTTATATAATTTTATGTATACATAGCATATATAATACATGCATAATAGTAAAAATACAATAAAAGGAAAAAAAAACCAGGAGTTTTTGTCTGGCAAGCAAAATGCTCTTATATGGCACAAACAAATCAAAGTAATATACGATTTACAGGGCAAAAGATCGTCAAAAATCTTTCGTAAGATCTTTTTAAGAGACACCGTAAACCGTTTGTAAGATTTTAGCTATTCTGGCACAAAATTCTTTAAAAAAAGTTTTATCATTTGCAATTTGTGGTAGAAATTTGTTTTGTTCTATTTCTTTTGTGATGGAAAGTAGATGTAATGTTTCATTATTATTATTATTTATACATCAAAAATTAATTGTCAAATTTATCTCATGTTATAATAAATAAATAGATGAACAGATTAATGTTAAATAAATATTATTAAATATATTTCGCAAGATTTTTGAGTGTGATGAGCTGAAAGATAGTTGCCAGAATTGTCTTGTTAGAATGTAATTATTACATATACTTATATAACTCAACGCATAGTCAGTCATCCAATATGTTGAGAAAATATATTTTTGCAACGAAACCAAATAAAAAATTTGAGTTCCTTAAACAAATTTAAATTTATAGATATGTTTACTTTACGTTTGAATATATATAAATACATATATTCAAACTAATATACATTTAATACGTATATGCATAATCTGCTTAAATTTAAACTTATTTTATAATCAAAATATATATTTTTTTAATCTTTTTTAAAATTAATTTATTATTGATCATATAAACATTTATATCAATACATTTATTATTAATTTTTATAATTCAAAATAAAGACTTAAATTTATTTAAAAGTATTATTATGTTACATATAAACTTTTTTCTGCTTAATATTTAAAAAATATATCAATTTAATTTAACAGATAAATTTTTTATAACGCTTTTAAATAATAAGCAAATAGCGAATTTTCAAATCAAATTTTGTGAAATATACACACCAAGAAAAATAGAATATCTTATTCTATAATAGAATTCTTGGTGTCCACTACTAGCGATATAACATACTGAAGTTGCAAATTACGTTTGGAACACGCCTAGAAAAACTTAGACTTGGCTACAAACCTCAATACATATCTTACTAAAATTCAAAATGTTCTGATTTTCGAATTAAAAAAGAAAATGCTATTGGTTCACCATGGTTAGCCATAGTTGACAACATTTGCCGTGAAAACAAAGTCTGAAGATAAGTCTGTATATAGAGTAAAGTCTCCAACAACGGTCTCAATAGAGTTTGACTTCTAGAGACCACTTTCAAGAAATATTTGTAGTTACGTATATAAATATTTTTAGAATATGAATTATTATGTATTTTTTTATGATATGTAGGATAAGTGGATGAAACACTCAATGCTGCGTTGTAATTATGATAGAGCCTTGCAAGCCTTGTATATATTTAGAAGCCTCGGTATCTTGAGAACTAATTAGTTATAGAATTTAGCAATGAATCAATCTCAAGTAACTTTGGGTTTGATATATCACTGAATTGCTCGAACATGATCCATGAAAATGAACATTCATAAATCAAGTATTCTGGAAAATTCAAACCCGTAACTGCTGGTAACAAACTTTAAAACATTAAAGAAACATTAATTTACTGTAGTTTTTGCAGTAGTATTGTTTCTCTGTGTATGTGGCCCCTGTTTAAATAAGTTATCGATAATCTGATACGAGAAAAGAAATAGCATGACGTTAAATACGGAATCTATTTACTTCTGATGTAGTAAGAAAAATGAGAATTTAATAATAAAGGATGAAGTGTTTATCACAAAAACTTACTAATGCTTAATACCTCACCAACTCAAGATCTTGTCATATAAGCAATAAGGCTTATATTACATATGTTATTAAAGATTAGGCGATATAATTTTTGTTGCAGTAATTTTAATTTTACACATTACCATGCATTTTTCTGACCCATTTGTTGTTTTAATTTGAGATTTTATAAACAGCATTTTTAACTGCTCCGAGTTACTGATCTTGAACTTAATCATACGTTCAATTTCTACATGACCACTAGTCCAATAATGGGTCTAATTTCAGGGGAACGTATATAATTCATTAAAAGAGTAAATAATATAAGATAATATGAAGCACTCTAATATTTTTAGTACTTTTAAATTCTGTTACTATCTATTACTATTGTAAGTTATTCGTGACTGATTTATTTTATTATAGTTATTTAATTTAATTATTATTGTAATCAAAGGCGTTTTGGATTTTAATTTAGATTATAAGCAATGGGGATTTTTACTAAACAAATTTATTTATTCTCAACTTGTCTGGCTCTTAATAATTTAAGACGTTTGCTTTTTACTTTTTCACGACCTAGAAGATGCAAAGGCGCCAGAAACGAAATTATTTTTAATGTTGGGGTTTCGCATTACAGTCGTTATACAGATGCTGGCGTGTTTTCAAATGCTAACTTGCTTCTACATAAATGATATTCAAATAACTATTTTATATTGTGGAATAACTTATCAATCTTAAAATGTAGGTTAAAATTACATTAAATAAAATATTATAAAGCATTTTAACACAGTTGCAAAAGCTATGCATTGTAAAGTCAGAGAAATAATTATTATTGCTTAGTTACATTCAAAATATAGAATGAGGAATTTTTCTACTTCATTTTCTGATTAAAGTCATATACAATATTGCAATGTTTTAATAGTGTGTTTTTAACTCGTACTGTGTAGAAAATTATTAAAAAATTTAGCGAATAATGAATCTCTTATACTTTGTTGTTTACGTTCAAATAATATTAAGGATTTGTTCATTTCTCTAAAGTCTCTATTCAACAGGAAACAATTGTTTCTTACATTAGTCAAAAATTTTCCATACGTACCGCTTATATCTGCAATATATATAGAAAAAAAAACAAATTAGCTTATTAAGACAAATGAATTTTTTAAATAATATTATATTATTAATATAATTGTCATTCATAAATATTTATTTATATTAAAAAAAACTACCAAATAAAAAGAATAAATTGAGTTGATTTAGTTTACATTTATATTTATGTTGTTTTAGATATTATCACATTTTTATCGACCCATTAGAGCTACTTGCTCAGTTTGCCATTTTTGCAAAAATTCTTTTTCGTACATGCAGAGTCTTCTTCTAGTTTTTTCAATATAACAACATTCAAATATATATGGAGTTAAGAAACTTTGGCCATGCGAGATCTGACAAATTCAGCTATTCAATATGTTAAATAATTACACCAACAATAACACTGTCAATTATTTATTGTAACACAAATTACAAATGTAATTAATTATTCCTATTAGCAGTCTAATTGCAATTTTTGATCTAACATGAATTTAATGTTTTTATTTTTGGTACATACATAATTATGAAAATAATGTACTTTTGAACAACTGCATGAATGCAAACCATTAAACAGTCAAGTAAGAGCGTAACTCCCAGTTCAGTAAATGGCGAATAAAAAGGCTTGTTTAGAATACTTTTTTCTGAAGTTAGTTGACTTGAAAAATATAGGAATAAAATTTATAGTTCTTTTACATATTGATAATGTGGTTAGACAATTCTTCTAGATCATTCATAATTCCAAATACTGCGTTAAGCGCAATCTTTATATGAATTGGACTTGCATCAAACTATGACCTATGACCGCTGCAAATTGTAATGAAAAGCCTTAATGACGAAAACAAAGTTGACGTTCATCAACTAGCAGTTAGTTTTATTAGAAACGGTTTGATATTATCTACAAGTTCGGAATATGTTTTTCTGACCATGATATCTTTTTAGAGTGAGCGTTTCAATTTAAACGGAATAAAAAAAAATCGAATGATAATTTTTTAATACAAACGGCAACATTAAATAATATTTCAAACGCAACAAATTCTTCAAGAGGTACTAATTCGAAAAATCTACTAGATTTTGTGGTGATAAAAGCAATGTTGGTTCACAAATTTAAATCACTTCAGTTATCATTTAAATTTTTTATCATATAAACGTTTTTTAGTGTTTTTGGAAAACATGCAGCTATTTTTTCATTTTATAATTTTTAAAATTTATGTCACCAATCTTTATCCTTTATATTAGACCAAAATTTATTAAACAATGTGAAACTGCTAGCACCCCGTACTCTACAAAAAAGTAAGGGTATTTGAAATCAAATATTTATTTCAAAGAATGTCAAAACACACAATAAGTTGGGATGATTTTATGCTTACAGATTGTTACACTGTTGTATGCCCGATTCTTTGATTCTATTTCTTGGTCCTATAAATTGTAAATAAGATTAAGTAGGTTTCCGATATACAAAACATCATTTTATACGAAATTAAACTTGATGCTACTGTACGAAATTTTAAAAATTTTATTATGCAAAATATTTTTTGTCAAAAAGAAATATAACGTAGACACCTATCTAATATTCCTGGTGCTTAAATGATGAAAAGCAATAGAACTTCTCTATTAGATCTTAAAATTAATTAAAATTTTATTATATAGACTCTAATTCTAATACAAAAATAAATAAAAAAAATATAAAACAATAAATACCAGTGTTGATGTTACTTTCTTGGTCTCTGTCACCTGTCACCAAGCAGGCACTCGGAGATTTTCCATTTTTATATTCTGCTTCAACAAATTGTGCAATAATGGATCTGAATCTCTCTGGAATTAAAAACAGCCTTTCTGTATTTCCTCGCTTAAAACATAAATATGCAGATTTCATTTGAAACCATTTCCTTCGTATTTGGGTTGGTGATTTGTTTACAAAACCATATTTTCTCATTTTATTAGCTATCTGCACAAACGTAAAATGAGTTGTGGCTGTGGTTCCTTGGGAGGATTGCATATCTTTGATCAATTTTAACATGCATTCTACCTCACTTGCCAACCAAAAATTACGTTTCAACTTTCCTTTTTTTAATAATTTACTTGGCATTTTATCAACAAAAACTTAACAGAAACTGTTTATTAGCCAAGTGTGGAACGGTGATATAAGTAGCAATAACGCTTGCAAGAATGATGGAAACAGAGACGATCTTACAAAGAGATTTATTCTAGAGAAATATACAATATTTTTATCACACGTATTAAATAGGTGTGAATGTTTCTTTTAGGCTTTTCAAGTACTAATGTGTAGTTATTTAATAACTATTTGTTATAACAAGTTATTATACATATATGAATACTTGTAGATTTATATAAGTGAATATTATACATAATTAAGTTGTTATAACGCATTCACATTGTCTCATTTAAGCACTTGGTCATTTATACGTGTATTCTTTTAACATAAATGCTCCAATAGAACACGTGTCGCTAAAAAATTAAAATGCAAAGTAATAACAAAATTCGCAAAAATAAGCTCACTTTTCTGATAATACTTAAGGAATATATAACGAAACTCGCATTTCAATGGTGTCAAATCTTAAAACTGATATGTTGTGAATGGTTTTTGAAAGAAAAAGGAAAATAGCTGACTGATTTATTATTTACAACTGTTGTAAGTGTTAATAAGTAAATTTAAATACTTTAAGTAATTTTTTTAATAAAATTTGTAAAAATAACTGACATTTTAGTAACTGTGAAGAAGTTATTTATTAAGGAATTTTTAATTTATGTGCTCATTAAAAAATTAAAAAATGAAATTCAAAACACAATCGTTGAAATGAAAGAAAAAATTTAGGAGACAATTGCAAGAAAAATGAAACAATGTTAAATACTGTTAATTTAACATTAACTAGTGATGTTAGGAAAATTATATAAACGAATTTATTCATAATCTCGTATTAGCTATATGTATATTTATATAAAAATCTTTTTATAAAATTTGTTTGAAATTTTTTTACTTATTATATGTGTACTGAATTAGGCAGTGATGCGAAGTTATTCTTATTGTTCTACTAGAGTATGCACGTCAAAAGAGTACACCTAATATATCTCAAAAAAAATTAAAACCCTGTGCAAGTTTTAGTAAATTGACAATAAATGGAGTAAAATAATAAATTATGTCGGCAGAGAAAATTCGAGTAGGAAAAATTAGATAAAAATTAAGTAAATTAGGTATTACCCTTGGGAAAATTTTGCAAAATGTTTCATAAATAAATAAATAAATTTGAAAACTTTTAACCAAAAATAATAAATAAATGCAATAAATAATTATTTACATAAATGCAGTGTAAAAAATCCCTAGAAAATTTCAATTTACTTCACCTCAATTTACTCGAACTCGCACACGGCCCAAATATTTAATTGATATATCAAATCAAATGCAATTAGGTAAAACAAAGATTTTATAAGATTTTTATGTTTACAATTTTGGTAATTTTCCTTGTAGGAAATTTGTTTTTAAGCGTAGCATTCGGCATTTTTCGCCTTAAATGAGCTGATTTAAGTCTGGTTGAAACAAATTGGCATCACTTTTAATATTTGTTAAATGCTTATTTTTTACATATGTTTCTTGTTATGTTGGGTACAACATGGAATATAAAAATTATAAAGACTAAAAATTAATTATTTTAAAAAATAAAAAAAACAAAATGAATATTAAAAGGCAATGGTTAGCACTTTTATCTTTGCGGAGTAAAATAGAACAGGTTGCTACTAGTCACACATTTGCTTTTCAAAAACTGTGACAATTACTTAACACGATGTGTCAGTTGATAATGTACATGTTGATGTAGTGCACTAATGTGATTCTTGATGTGATGCTTGCTTTGCGTTGCTCGAATGCTTATTTCAATTCGATGGCTTATCTATAAGTTGGTTGTGAATTTCGAAGCCAAAAGCGGACGTCTGAACTTGTATCAAGGCAACGACAAACCACTGAAGTATATTCTCTCAGATAATCATATAAAAATGAAAGTGCAACCACTAAAACGGTCATCAGTCTCCATTAAATCAAAGTTGCTAAGAATCCTCGGAGGTAAAACAAAATGAAATTTAAATATTGGAACATGGAACACTCGAATCCTATACGAATCTGGAATATTAAACAATACAATTCTCGAAATGAAAAAACATAACATATAAATATTTGGCATAAGTGAAACTTGATGGCCAAATTCGGGGTAGTTCTATTCTCAAAACATAAAAGTTTACTTTCCTAGTAACCAAAACAGAAATCTTCGCAATGGTGTAACCATGATAATAATGAAAAATATTGCACAATTTCTCATCGAACTGTGCAATATTCTTCCAAAATCCGATTGAGCAATGATGCTGAAAATAAATGCCAAACCGCTAAATATCAATATTACTTATGTACCAAGACCGAGGACAAGAAAGAACCCTATACTGAAATAGATGAACTTAAACAACACGAAATGAACATTATTCAAGGCGATTTTAATTCAAAAGTCGGTAAAGGAAAAGTTGAACGCGTTACAGGTCATTATAATCTAGGAGATAGAAATAAGAGAGAAGATCGACTCATACATTTTGCCTAGAGCATTCTGGTCAGTAATCGTTTTTACTCCTCATTCTGATTTGAGCAGTTATAACATATCCTGGGACAGATATGCCTTCCAATCGCATTCTTTTGGCAACAATTTGTATCAGACTTGCAAACTTTCACAAAAAAAAAAGCTAAATAAGACAATTTGGAAAAATTAAATAATTGATGGCATAAAAAGTGATGTTCATTGGAAAACAACATTGATCAGCGTTTACGAGGCAAGAAATCTCGAAATTATACAGGAAGAACATAAAAATACATTTAATTGTACAGAAAAAGAGACTCATGGAATGTACAAAAAAGAAGTTAGGAAAAAGAAATCAAAAGTCAAAAAATATAGCAATTGATAAATAAATGTCGTGAGTATAAAAATAACAACCAATTGAATTGAGAAATAAAAAACGAAATCAGATGAAAGATTCATACTGCTAAAGCTAAAAGAATAAACAATAACAATAAACAATGAATGCCAAGAAACGAAAAAACTACAAACTATATATGATTACTTTAACTTATATAAAAAACTTAAGAAAACTATAGGTTACTTTCTTACGTGGTTAGCCATTACAGACGTGAGTTGTCCTTGGCCGCATCGACTAGCCTCCGCTTTTTAGCCAAAGCACTTTCTTCCATTCGCACGATATCACCAATCCAGCAAACCGCTAAATTTTTATGCGCTTAACAATGTTAAATATGTGGCGGAATAACTTACACAGCTCATCGCTACATCTAATTTGATACGCGTTACAAACGCGTTAATGACCTTGGATCTTCCTAATAATTTTTTTCTTAAATGCTCCTAACTCCTTTTTATCACTGTTGTTTATTGTTCAAGTTTCTGTATCACACAGCATAACAGAACTTGTGGAGACTTGTTTATTCCGTATCTGCAGATCAATCAGCCTTTCAACAGACTTCAGTAAGAAAGACGTAAGACTAATGGGTCTGTAGGACTTTGGCTGGTCCATGGATTTATTACCAAGTTTGGGAATAAAGATCACGTTCACTGCTCTTCAGGAATGAGGGATATGACCCATAGTAAAACAAGCCCTAAAGAGTTTGATTAATGGGTCTAGAATGATATCTGTGCAATTCTGTAATAACGCAAGAAAGACTATCGCCTCCAGGTGCCTTAATTCCTTGCATTGGGAACAGTAACTTCGCTGTTTGATTGTAATATTGTTGCTCCGGTTACGGAACCAGAAAATTGAGTTTTCAATAGAAACTCAAAAGTATCTTCACGACTAGTGGTGAAGGAACCATCGTGTTTTTTTAAAAGGCCTACTTCGTTTGATTTGACCCTATTTAAAGCCACATGCAGTCTAGCTGCTTAAGACAACTTCCCGACACTATCACAATGACTACAGCAGCTAATCTGTTTGGACTGTCTGATTGATTTGTTGTTGTCAGTGAGTTCAAATTTATATTCTTCCCACCTAGCGTTTTGCCCTATTGAATAAGCTCCTTACTAGTTTGCGGTTATTAGCTAGTTGCGAATTCCACCAAGGAACCTTACCTATAATTGTGGTGCTGTCTGCAACCGTGTTTTATGAAATGAGGTTATTAATACCTCACTTAAATGGTTAACACCCATCTCTTTCTCTTCACAAATTCGTAAAGGCATGGCTAGAGAAAAGTTTGCGGAATACACTAAGTCCCTGTACCAATGCCAATTGATTTTTTTTAGCCGGTACTCGTTTTCTTGCTGTTTGGATATACCGGAAATTTCAAACCTAACATGTTGATAGTCAGAAAGGAACACTTCGTCTGACATTTGCCAATTCCATATAGATTCCTCTGGTGACTTTAATGCATAGAGTGGGATCCAACACCTTTTCTCTAATTGCATTAATAAGTGTGGCTTTGTCACCTTTATTAGCTAGAAATAATACTAAAGACATAATATATTCTAATATGTAGTCACCCTTTTTACTAATAATACTGCTCCCCCACACTATATGGTAAGCGATTGCATCACAGCTCAAGATTAGCTGCGGCTAATCATCACTTGCAGAAGCTAATCAGCTGTTGAACTTCTGTTGGTGGAACGGTTTCTACTTCACCTGGAAAGTAGGCAAAGACCATGACCACGGCTGTGACCCATCCTATTGTTAGGACTTCAACTAGAGCCGCTGCTAGGTCTCTTGAAATAACATCAGTTAACGGAAGATATTTTACATCTCCACTGATTAGGATAGCTGCACGCGGCACTGTTATCGATCGGGTATCGACCAACTTACCTGATTTTGAGTTAAGACCCCAAATGTGGCTACCGAACACTCACGCCTCTTGATTAAGTCCTAGAGCGATGTTTGTCTCGTCGAGAACTTTTGTCCTTCGCACCCTTCTATTGCTTCGGTAAAATTTTTCCGATTACGGGTGGTTTAGTGGTTACGGTCCTTGGTTCACCTGCTACTGTGCTCGTGAAGGGTATTGTGGACTAGATTCCTGATGTGCGAGTCTGAACAGCACACCCACTAGCATTGCTTATAGCCTTGCTAGTGGAACGGCCTGTGTCTATTTCCTCTTCCTCAGGAATAGTCACTGTTGGGCAACTATTTATATGGGATGTTGCCTGAGTCGAAGATGACTGAGTGGTTTTGTCATCCTGAAGCACCTTTGGAGCATCTTTCACGAGGTGAGAGAGAGGGGGGGTGGTTCCCTTTAGCATCAATTTGAAGTGTCCTAACCGGTATGCAATCCTACCTTTTAGTTCCGATAAGGTCCTCATGGATTCGTGATCAATGACGAAAACTAGGTGTAGCATCTGATCATGCGTCAGTCTGCGTATCACCTTCCACCGCTTGGTGCAGAATTTGTTGTGGGTACCAATGGTTTTTGGCGAGTCCGCATTTGTGCCCTTTTTTACCAATTATACAAAAAAATATATACTAAACTCTTTACCTGTTGGGTAACAATACACTTTCAGTGACATAAAATAAATAATTACCATAAATAATGACAGTTTTGTATCATTGGCAACCCTGTTGCACAAACGCAAATTAATACAATAAAAAATGCCAGTCTTGATCAAACTCTCATTAAGAAATGACGTGTGTGTTTTCTTCTTCTCTTTTTCGTTTTTTAGTTGTTATTTTACCAAGAAAAACTCTTCTCGGTACATTACCAATTTAGTTAATTTACGTGAAGTGTTATAAATAGTTTAAAAAAATTTTAGTTCATTTATTTGTGATACCAGAAAAATAAAATAATGCAATGATGCCAAACCATATCAAAAATAATTTGGCTTTGGTAGATCAGAAACATCTCGCCGGCCGCACATATATTAGCGGCGTGCTGTGTCGTGCTTTGACAGCCCTGAATAGCTCATGCTTTACTATAATTCATACAATATGTAATGTTATACTTAAAAAGGTATTATTATTAATAGTTATTATTTTTATCGCATATGTTTTTACGTGCATAACAAATCAAGTATTTCATTTTATAACGAAATGCTAAAGAGTAAAATATAATAATAGGCTTTCGGCAACTCCGAAGTGTGTCAAAATACAATAAGTCGCTTATGTGTAAACAAGACAACAATCATGCGATAAGCGGTCTATTGTGGACGTTCATAGGAAATTTCAACGAATACTCCAGTCATTTGTCAGAAGTTTATAAACAATAAATCAAACAAAATTTCACAAATTTAAAAATTGTGAAAATCAAATATATTTAAAATATGCAAAATTGTAGAAAATAAATATTTTAAAAATATATTATTATATAGAAATACGTGTAAAAAATTTTATTGAAGAGCTCTTTGAAATTCTTAACTTACTAGTTTCTTACAAGTTAATACTTATTGAGGCATAAATATTCTTAACTGTTATTAAGTTCATTGTAAAACAAAATTTCAAAATTTTCTATATTCTTCGCATTGCTTTTAATTCAATATTCATTTCAAATTTTAATTTTATATAAATTAAATATTTTTATGCAAAATGTTGTTTGCTTGCATTGTGTGCACATATGTAATATTTGCTCTTTGACAGATTGCAACAATGAAGCCAATATCTCGCTTAACGACTTTAGTAAGAAACTTATTGTTTTTTATTGTATATAGGTGTATGAAATCTAATATGTGTAATGGTTTTTTTCTTACTTAATTTGTGTATTTTTTTTTAGAAACAATGAATAAGGGAACCTGTGGAATATTGAAAATGTTAACAAAAGAGGGATAACAGTATTTTTTTGATATGAGCTTACTCAATATAATATTTGAATAATAATTTTTTTCATATATTTTTATGCAGAGTTCACGCTTATATGAATGTCTATATGCGACATATCTTTTACAAAATTTTAGAACATGTAAATATGCAACATAAATAAAATACGGCTATTATCAAAATTTTTTGTCAAATCATGACAATAATAATAATAATATATTATTGTACTATATATACACCTTATATATAGTAGTAATATTTTATTATATGATACAAAATATTTTAATCACATATATCAATATATTGATTTGTGAAAATATTTATTCATATCGGGTATTTTCGGTTTTTTTAAAATTTTTAAGGGAATTATTTTGAAACGATCTGGCAACAATAACTTATGTAAAAGTGTGTTGTTCCTAATTCTTGTAACGAAACAGATTAAGTACGAATTGAACGTGTCGAGTTCATGCGAATTAATTGTGTGCAGTCCAGTTAAGCTTCGTAAAATATATTTTAAACACAGTTAAATATTGTGCACAGCGCTTAATAGTTTTGTTTACTCAAAGTTTCGATAATTTGGTAAATATTTTTGGTATGAAATTGTTTGCAATTTTAGTATTAACTGCAACAAAATATTGTTAACGCTAAATTTCACAAAATTTTTTTTGACTCATTTATGATTTTGCGCATATTTGACTAGATAAATTTACATATTATAAATAGTTTTTTTTTTGTTTTGTTTTTGTTATTTTGGTTAATAAAAGACAGTGAACTGTGTTTACAACAACAACAACAAAATTATTATTGACAACCTTAATATATATATATAAGTACGTGTAATATTGCATTCCATTCACGCATTCGTCGCACTTAAAGTTGTGCCAAATAAAATTGAAAATGTTTACAATAAGCAACGAACTTTTTTTAAACTGAAATAAGCATTTACAGATAGAATACGCCGAAAGTAAAGTGAATATTTTGTTGTTGTCCTAAATGTCTGTCCGTCTGTACGGATGGTATGTACGCGAACTTGGCGTTAAGGACTTGGAAACTTACGAACTATTATAATACTTGATATATAAAACTGAAATTTAAATGATTCTTAATAATGTATTTTTTTAGTTGGTACTAAGTTGTGACGTGCAAAATGTATGATAAAAAAAAGTACTCACATCAGTCAATTGAAAAGTGTCATTTCAAAGCAAATCTAATCAAGATTGGCGAAAATGTGGTTAGTAAATAATTGTATATGAATATTGTATTGATCCAATCTATAAAGTAAATATAAATTGTTTATATACAGTTGTGGATACAAAAAGCAGATAATATATATATTTATATTATATATAAAACACTACACGGATTATGTTATCAAAAGATATATGCCTGCAGCGTACTCTTCTATGTGTTGAATATAATTATTAATATATAATATTACAATAAACTTTTTTGTTTACACTTCTAAGTACTTCAAAATTTAACTTAAATGATATGACTCATAAAATTTTTCAGACTTAAGTGGTTAAAAGGTTCTATGACAAATATTTCTCGCTATCCCATAGTTGCTTAGATGAAGTTCAAAAAGAGATATGATATTAATGGTAATTCCAAAAATTGACGCTTAAACAGTAGTCCAGCATCTTGTAGTTAGACATCTAAACGCTTGGATAACTATATGTATCCACTTACCATGTAGCATTATTTTGCTTAATGTAAGAGAAGAAAAAGTTAATAAGAAACTTATTTAGCAATTCAATTTTATCTAAAAGACAAAAACAGTTTATTTGTTGGCAAGTGCCATATCCTTAACTTTTCTTTCTATTTCTTTAGTTAATATTTTGTATAGCAAATTATTTTCAATCATAATGCAGTCATATCATAACAAATATATAAATGAAATCTAATAAGTTTTCTTATAGACCCGAACCTAATTTCGTAAAACTTTGCTTTCAACAATTATTACCATATGAACCTGATGATATTCTTTTTTTAAGTTTAGATGACATATTGTTCAATTGACACTGATCCTATTTGATACTCTTAATGCTGTTCCTTTTAATAATTAAGTATTAAGTTATGTATCATGCACTTATCATTAAATGCAAGATTTCAATAGAACTCATATTTTTACGAAAGCATCCATTGCCATCTAAATTCGCTTATGAGTCACAAAATGCAATCGAAGCTCTAAAAACAATGAGTAATTTTTTATATTCAAATGCAGTACAATAATATGTTACGTAGCCAGCTAGTCAATAAAAATCTTAACAAAATAGAAATCAGATCAACTGTTTACATTCACTGCTTTTTGCCTGTTTTATAAACATACTATACTATACATGTATATGAATTTCTCGAAATGGATTTTTCATGCTCTATTTAAATAATTCTATCTCCTATGCACTACAAATCTGAATAGGTGATAAACACAGTTGGTTTAAACATAAAACGATTATATTATATCTGATTATATATATAGAACTAAACAGTTTGTGAAAATAGAATTAGATAGGATTTTATTAATATTAAATTACTGATAATCCAGTAAAATATTAGTTTCATTAAAATTTGTTTAAATAATAAATTACGTAAACATAATAGTGGTTTAATTAAGGGAGGTATATTTTTCCTTTATATTTGAAAGGTTGTTCTTCATTGACTCGTCTAATTTTTGAAACACAGCTGAATATATTCTTATCTATAGGTTTATTATTCGATTCTTTAGACAGCAAATAAATAGTTTGTTATGGAAACTTTGTATATCTTAAATATTTCTAGACGCAAATTAGAAAATTGGTATTTCAAAATTTTTTAATTCTATTTTAATATTTAATCTTTATTAAATCTTGTTGTTCTAATTATTGTAATATTAAAAAGTACTTGCTGCTTTTAAGTGTTGTTTTCTTTTTTAGTTAAAATTTATTAAAATTATTAGTAAATATTACTGTAGTGTTCTATTTTATTATATACTTAAAACAATATTTGATGTGCTACTCACTTTCATTGTCTAATATTTACATATGCTTCTTATTATTAATTTCATGGTAATATATTGATACATGTAGTTGATATTAAAAATTATTTTTAATTGTAAATAGAATTTAAATAGTGGAAAAATGAGCGCCTTAAATCATAGTACTGAAGATGTTGCCGAATGTCCATTATGCATGGAGCCTTTGGAGGTTGATGACCTCAATTTTTACCCATGCACATGTGGGTATCAGGTAAAATAAATTTCTTCATACATTTTTTAACATAGCTTTAAATATTATATTCTTTTATAGATATGTAGATTTTGCTGGCACCGAATTCGTACTGACGAAAATGAATTATGCCCAGCATGTAGAAAGGCATATCCCGAAAATCCGGCTGACTTCACTCCCCTCACTCAGGAGGAGGTTAATATTAACTTATATGTATTTTATATATTGCTTTATTGCTATTTTAACTTGTAGATGATAGCCTTTAAGTCGCAAAAGCGGCAACGTGATCAACAAAGACGTCAAAAAATTACTGAGAACCGAAAACATTTAGCTAATGTTAGAGTCGTTCAAAAGAATTTAGTTTTTGTTGTTGGTTTGCCACCAAGACTAGCGGATGCGGATGTAAGTAATTATATATATATATATATATATAAACTGAACATATGGAAATATATAACTTTTTTTTGAAATATTTTAGATCCTAAAAAAGCATGAATACTTTGGGAAATATGGTAAAATCCATAAAGTCGTGATAAATCCTAGTACTACATATGCAGGCGTGCAGGTAAGCTAAACCTTAAAAATTATAAGTTTAAAAGTCATGAACGAAAGCTTTTGTATGGATTTATATTGAAAATCAATTTTGTCAAAAATATTTTCTCTGTATATTCTTTATATAAATGTTACCAATTGGTAAAAAGAAGTTATATAATAATAAAACTAAATTGCAAATAACAGAAATGAAAAGCAATATGTATTATATAAAATTGTGTTATATGAATGTCATCATATTGAAATGAATGATGTGTATTTTATGGAAATTAAAATCCCAAGAATAGCTTTGTTTATATTTATATCAAATGCAATTTTATTGGTCTTTCTAAGAAAATAACTGCTTATCGTAGATATTTACTTTACTGCATTGCGATAAATATTGGATCGAATTTCAAAGTTAATGATAAAACAGATGTCGCAGACATTTGAATTCATTTGCAATTAACTTGAAAGAAAATGTATCTATAAATGTATAACATATGTTATAAATAACATATTAATAACATGTGACCATATCTTGCTTTTTAAGGAATTTTTTAATATATAACTTAATAAGTAGAATTCATCTGAAATACAAATGCAATAAATGTAATGTTTTAGTCAGAGATCTTTCAGTACATTTACATACATTAGGATTTTTGTGTTTATAATTAAGCTTAAAGTAACACCCAAATAACTTAAGTGCATATGTGTTTTAAGTTGATTTTTTTAATACTTAATTTTTATTAAATTGAATCAAATTTCAAATTTTGCTTTTGCTGCGATTTTCAGTTTTAATTTTCAAGTGTTTCTTTTTGGGTGTAAATTATATTAGCTTCCACTCTATATATATATATAAAGATGGATTGATTTTTGTGATAGGTAAATTGTCTGCTTTCAACACCTATTAATTTGAGAAATTCAATATACTAAATTTCACTTTTTGATCTTCTCATATTACAAAACAATAAAAATTTATGAATTGAAGGATGTTCTGATCGAAAAGTTATACAACTTTATATTAAAATAGATGGTGAAGTATTTGGGAGTACAGATAATGCTTGAATAAAATTAACACACATTAAAATAGGTTCACTTTTAAAAAGTTGTAAATTGCGATATCACGCAATAATCGTATCAATTAATTGTAAAACTTTTCATTTGTGTCAAACTACTTCAGTAACGGAAAAGTTATAGCTGTTATTCCTGCTAAAACTAAGACTAGCTTAATGGTATAGTGAAACTGCTTAATATGAATTTTCCAAAATTTGTTGGGAAACCAAGAAACAACAAAACTGTGTCGATATGGAAAGAAAGTCATATCACTATAACGCGTCAACTCACTGACAAAAAAACTTTATTGCGTTATTACAGATTAAAGAAATTTTTCCAATTCCAAAAAAAACAAAAATCTAGAAAGGTCTTCTGTGTGTGTGTGTGCAATAATAAGAGAGAATTATTGTAGTGAATATTGAAGTTGTAAACCTTTTGTATAAGGGCTGTTTGCAAAAGTGGATCTACTGGCTTCAGAAATGTTTAGAAATTAATGAAAATTATGTTAAAATAATTAAAAATGATGAAGTTATTTGGTTAATTTCATAACTTAATTTTTTTGTAGTCAACTAAGGAAACTTTTGTTAACCCCTCGCATGGCGTAAGAAATTTATTTGTAAGAATTTTTTTATATATTTTTATATAGAAATGCATTTTTAGAAATAAAAAATATATTTAAATATAAAATATCTTATTAAAAAAATATTTTTTTAACTTTTATAGGGTCCATCTGCGTCGGCTTACGTGACGTATGTTCATAATAGTGATGCTTTAAGAGCAATACAGAGTGTTAATAATATTATGATTGATGGACGGTTAATAAAAACCAGTTTAGGTACGACAAAGTATTGCAGTCATTTTATGAAAAATCAGCAATGTCCCAAGAGCGATTGTATGTATTTACATGAGCTAGGTGATTCGGAAGCAAGTTTTACAAAAGAGGTAAGGACGGACATTTTTAACATTAGTATTTTTAACATTAACGTTTTTATTTGCAATACACAGTTTTATATTTTAAACATTCTTGTATAATTTGAATGCAAAATAATATATATGTAAATTTTTATAATATCATTTTTTAAACACTATAAATTATTTGGTAAATAAGTGATGTATATTTTTTGTTTTTATTATAAATACTTTTAATAACACGCAGTCTACGACCGTTTGTACAAACAAAGTTAAACTAAAGAATATAATATTTTTTGCATTAAATGTCAATACAAGATATTAGGTTTAAGTGAAAAGCGAAACATTTTTTTATGATTCGCCAATATTTTTCTGTCTAAAAATATTTCATCAATGATAAATCTTTAAAAAAATTTTTGAATTATGTTCTAAATGAACTTGTATTTTGCGTTAGATTAAATTCTTTTCTATCTTCGGTATGCGAGATGCATATTTGCAATGTTCACTATTTGTTTTTGTTTTTAAAACCTACAATAACCACCAAACAGTTTTTATGTCTATAATTTATTATATTGTGGTTATATACAATTTTACTAAGATTTTTTTTTCGAAATAAGTGGTTTCAGTTAAATTACAATCGTTTATATACTGAAAGAAAGAGTCCATAAAAAACACATACTTATATAAAGAGTGCTACAAAATCATCTGTTTTGTTGGCAACAAATAGTTAGGAACGTTATTTTTCGATAAATATATTATTATTATTTAAAATGGAGTAGTGCACTGCGGCCTAAAAGACATATTGTTGTGCCCCTAAGTCGGATTAGAGTATTTCTCCAAATCCGATTTCTTTAATGGAAGACAGTAAATATATAAAACATGTTAAAAAAATGCAGTTACCTCTTATGTACTTCAGTTTGGTTTAGTCAATTTACTTCAACTAACACATATCGTAATATACATATTACATACCGTATAAATGTATTTCAATTTGTTTTTTTTATAAATATATATTTTAGTTTTATTTGAAATATACTATTTTCTGAATTGAACCACATTAAAGCAACTATGTAAAATATATTAATGATTTTAGGAAATGCATCAAGGAAAACATCAGGAATATGAGAAACGTTTACATGATACATTAATTGCAACATCTGGATTCAACGGTACTAGTGTCAATCAAACACATTCAAATAATTCGTCGGTTAATGTAGTAAATAGCACATCCCAAACAAATAATTTCTTTAAAAATGGTGATACTAAGACAATAAATAACACCAGCCCTACGTCTGGAATGTTAATAGCATCATCTTCAGCAGCGGCAACATCGTCTCTTTCCTCTGGGACCACGAATAGCGCATCGGGAATGGTTGTAAATATTACTGGTGGAATTCAACAAAAGGAGGCATGGCCTAGTCTGTCAATTTCCCCAGTAAATAAGGACCTTGGCAGTAGTGGGCCTGCTATCAATAATTGTAAAACTAAAAAAGATAAAACAAAATTCGAAAAATCCAAAAATGAAAAGTTTAAAACAAAAAATAGTAAAAATAATCCAAATTCAAACAAACAAAACAATGGTATAACAAATGAAACAAATACAAATGTGCCTAATGAGTCGAAAGAAAAGAACACAACGCCTGAATTAGATATAGCAACCACAAACTATGAAAACTCTGGGGAATTAAATAAAGTTCAAACGGAAAAAATTAAAGAAAAAGGTCACTGTGAGAAGTCAAATTCTTCAAATCGCATCGGAAAAGATAGTAATATAACGCAACAAAAGAGCAAGCACGTCGTTAGTGCTGACAGTGAAATAAAGTTAATAGAGAATGAGAAAAAAATTATTGACAATAAATGTGATAAAAACTTAGCAATTAGCAAACGAAACAAAGAGAATGTCTCTGTTAGCGATGAACAGCGATCTTCGAGTTCAAGCAGTAACATGAGTAGTGAATCTAGTAATAATAGCGATATTGCATCCACACAAATAGGTGTTTCTAGTAGAAAGAGTTCCCCAGCAAATATTCTAGATTCTAATTGCTTCGGTATAAGCAAAGAATTGTTGAATGAGAGCGAATCTAACACAGTGCAGAAAAGTATAGACATCAAGAATCCCACATTAAAAGCTTCAAATATAAATAAAACTTATGAAAACCAGTTGCCTATAGAAAATCAAATCAATGAGGGTGATACTGGACTCATTCAACATACAAATACGGATGGAATTGGTTCAAAATCACCCTCATTTTTATCAGCAGATAAAGAACAGTTATGTAAAAAAACTGTTGCTGAAACTACAGGTAAAATTTATAACTTAAATATTCAGTTTAATTTATATTCCTTTTCGTTATTTTTTTAATATACTTTTCACGCATATAGTATTGTATAACAAGTTTATATTTAGTTTGTCAAAATGATCATAACATAGTAAATATATATATATATATATATATATATATATATATAATATATATATTCTTGATATCTGTATATAAATGTTCTTGATCTGTTACTTAGCGAAGTTTTTAAATATGTGTTGGTCTGTTAATATATAAACTAGTTTTTAAATATATCAACTAAATTTTAATATTTTTTTAGTTCAAAAATGTTCTCAACATAATTCTTACCAAAGTAATTAAATCAAATATTGAAAATGTCCTCATTAGAAGTCTCTAGGTTCGAAACCCATTTTATGTGAAGTTTGATAAAAATAAACGTCATTATTTAAACCCTTTCACTATACTCATGCCTGCTCTGTAAAATATCATTTTTGTTGTAAATTTATGGTTATGTAATAGAGTAATAAATATTAACTTCGAGCAGTAACTAGACGAAAACCCAAATTTTCCATTATTTATATTTATTGACAATGACTGGGCTTACACAGTTTTAGTAGTTACAATTATTTTTCTATATATGCTACGGTGATTTACAGACAACTGAAATCACGCAATAACGTACTGAAGGCTGGACTTATACAAGGCAATATGACGTCCTATTGTGGCTTTTGCAGCTCCAGTATATGACCCAGCAAACTGCAAGACGCAATAGAATAGCATTCAATCCTTTCTGAACACGTCTTTGCATGTTGTGACCGGTTATAATCGCTTGTTGATGACCATCTACATTCAAAATCGTGAATGCTTCTTGTAAAAGAACATAATCAAGTGTTCAAAGTTGTCAGTAGGCCTACAATATATATTCTTTATTGGCATAAAACATATTTGTCTTTGTATTCCATTATCAAATCCATTTGTTAACATATAAACTAGTCTCCTAGTTTTTCAGTGAACCTTTCCGCAAGGTGTTTGAAAATCCAGTCAGAAAGTGTGTACAAAATGATAACATTGGTTTACGGTTTACAATAACTATCATTTACACAACACAACTGCCGAAAATGAGTTTATGTTTATAAATCAGTTAGCAAATCAGTTTAATGTCATAAATAAAACCTATTTAATATACTATAATGATAGATTATTAAAAATTTTTACGAAATTGAATTGTTGCATAGCACCTGAAGTTTACATCAAAAATAAAACGATTAAACAAAGTTTAGTAAGTAAAAAAAAAAATTTTAAATTTCATAGTAGATATCTGTGAGGTTTACGTTTAGTATTAAAGAAAAATATCTGTGACATTGAAAATTAAATACTTAAATTTTATTTAACATTAGACATTGTCTCAAGTAAAAAGTTGTGCAAAATAGTTTAGATTCGTAAATATAGCTGAATTACGTAGTATTTAAATATTTAAAAAAAAATTATGTATATTTTTGAGTAATTTAATTAATGTCTTTAATTCAATATTTATTTTTTAAGCTTCACTTTCAAAACTTGATATGTTTGATGACACAAACAGCTTCTTCTCTTCACCCGGACCATCGTTTCAACAATCTTTGCTTCTTCGAAACAAAGTTACCAATGATATTAGACAACATAATCATGGAACGTCGCAACTACCTGATTTATTAAACGGTAAGAATTTGTATAAATTTAATATTTTAAATTCGTATTTAATTTTTTGAAAAGTTAAAAAATAATCATAAGTTTTTTGTTTTGTAAACGGCAAATAATGCCGCCGATGTCACAAGCTTTCGAGCGCCTGTCATCGCAGATATGAGGAAGATGTTACCATCTTCATGCGGAATTAAATTCTTTCTCGTTTAAGAGCATAACCAGTTGCTATCAAAGCAATTTCCTCACAGATGGACATTGAAACACCAACACCATTAGGCAGTATCTCTTTCGAGTTTTCATATTCCTTTCATATTCATTTTAGGTGCATAACAGGCCACTTCTGACATATTAAAGAAAAAAAACACGATTTTAGCGAGAAGTAAGAATTATTTTAACCCAATATAGGCCAGGTTATATGGTATATCAATGGTACATCCTAAATAGCTACTTGTCACGAATTAAATAAGTTATTCCTCATGAGTCGCTAAAATGCTATTTTATCTATCTAGCAATATTTCTTTCATCTGTTCAATTGTCCTACGGCACTCAGTAATCTGTTCCGAAATAGCCTGTGAATTAATCCTATAGACTCATTCTTCTAATACCCCTCTCTTCACCTATATCTTCCTTATTATCCTATTTTCATCTTTAATACTCATTCCTCTACGACGGATTACAACATGCTCGTAGTGCACGTTGCAAGAGATTGTATGTAAAGAAATGATTAATATAGATTTTAGAAGCTTAGCGGACACATTTAACCTTTTTTTATGTTGAGATTTACCCATATATTTCTTATGACTTGAGTACGAATTAACTTTTGTAAGCAAGCAATATCATCTGATGTTATCTGTAAATGCTGTTAGTGTCATAAAAACAGTTTTTTTAACTAAGAAAATTTATTTATAACTTATGTAACTTATATAACTTATTTATGTTATATACATTTACTACTAAGTATCTAAATAAGTATTTAATGCACACTTTTATTTTCTTTTCTCGTATTATGCGGTTCCACATTTAACATCATGTTTGCTGACCTAATAAACTTCAGGAATCGATGGATTTTCTAACAAGCCAATAAATTCCAGTGGTAAATTATTAAAAACTTTTAGATTAATTATTTTTAAGCTTGTTTTCATAATGGCTACATAAAATTTTGATTGTTAAATACTACGTAGAAAGGTATCAAATGTAATTTTATAAAACTTTAAGGCCCTCTTTAGGATCTACTAATTAGTTTTTTTTTTTTTTTTTTTTTTTCAGCTACAAAATTGACTATAAACGTAGTCAAGACGGTTTTATTTTTTAGGATTTTAACTTTTATTTAGTACGTTGTATTTTTTATATCTCTAAACGTATTTCGGCAAATTCGCTATTGCCCTCATCAGGAGAATTTCTAAGATTAAAGACATCTAGCAATTTACAAACTATTTATATTTTTTACATGTGTTATTATTTAAGTTTAATTAGTAGGGTTTTTGTAGTTAAGAAATTTGTTAATTTTTATTTCATTCGCCAAATTCTTATATTTAACCCTATTAAATTTGAAAAGCAGACTTACGTATTAGACCATTGAGCTACTTTTAAGGTGATCATATTTGACAAAATTCGAAACAGCTGTTTGAGTCAGTCCAAAAAATTCCCTTAATTAAAAAGTAATACTTTTAGATAAAATTTCTTCTCTAGGAAGTACCCTTTTCTATTCGTTAAAGATACTTTATAATGGCCATACATTTTTTTAATTCAAATTATTTTATATAAATATTTTGCTATTTATTTTTTTTTAAATAATATGTTAATAATTAATTATTTCTACAAAAAAAATCCATTCTTAAAAAACCTTCAGGCTAATAACAATATTTATATTACAACCAAATATATTTATTTTATTATATATTTACTATATTATGTATTTACCATATTATATATTTATTATATTCTGTTTATTATATTATATATTTATTATATTATATAATTAATATAATTATTATATTATATATTTTATATATTTATGTTATATTTTTAATATATTTATTAGATTATATTTTTAATATATTTATTATACTATATTTGTAATATATTTATTATTTTTATTATATTATATATTTAATATTTTTATTATATTATATTTTTAATATATTTATTATATATTTAATATTTCTATTATATTATATATTTAATAATTCTATTATATTATATATTTAATATTTCTATTATATTATATTTTTATTATATCATATATATAATATTTTTATTATATTAAATTTTTAATATATTTATCATATTAGTATCAGAAATACCGGATGTGTCTACAGTAATATTTCATAAATTTTTATTTAATAATGATATTCGAAATCTAAGTAATATGATTTATATTAATTGAGCATAGAATAATTTTGAACAATTTGAACCATAATTTAGGTGACATCTTTATTTTAACAACTGCAGATCTATGGATTGTTATTTTATTGTCTAGATAAGGTAGCACACAAAACTGAAAAAAGATTTTTCTATGAACTTACCAGGTGGGTTAATTCATTCTTTGACATGAAAAAAAACTAAATATTAAATGCAGTTTGTGTTTTATTTTTACATTTAAAATAATTTACTTGTTAGTTTGTATTCCAATTGAGGTATGCAGCAAAGCCATTTGATTACAGCCAATGGAAACAAGTTATTTAAAAATCACATATTTAAGTTTTTTGTTTTTGTACAAAGCATCATTTTTAACATTTTTTTTAAAATATTTTAAATAAAGAGTGGGAAGAAGCTTTTAAAAATATCATGGCAAGAAATGGAAAAATTGATGACCAATTACAACATCAACTTCAACAACGGGAACATTTTCCACAAGCTCAGTATCAACAAGATGATGAACTCTTCCGCATGCATGAGTTTCATAAGAAAAATATGTTCAATAATGGCGTTCGTGGACCAAATAATGGTTTGTATTTTTATTGGTTTAACCACAAAAATTAATGTAATAAATTATTTATTATGATAATAAAAACTAATAATCAATATGTTTTATAATATGAATTATATTTAAACTGTAAATATGAAAATTCGGATATTGCAAAACTTATTGTTATTATTTATATGCATGAATGCTTGAAATCTATCAATGAAAAATAATTATTATTGTTAAGTGTTATTGTTAAGTGTTGTTTATTAAATTTAAAAAGTATTATGCTTGAGAAATATCTGCTTTATGTTTGAGCGTCAAAATTATCACTTGACTTACGCCATATAATGTAATTAATATAATCTGACTTGTATTAATTGAATATCGTTTGTATTAATTAAAATAAATGTATTTTTGTGTAATTTTTATAAAAGAATCATATATTTATATAAGTGAAATTTTATTTATCTATAAATAATAATATAGGGGAACCTCTAACCTAATTTATTACTGTCAATTAATGAATTAATATTATCAAAATTTTGTTTTATATTAGAATTTACTAACTCCAGTAATTTTACTGGCAATATCGACCCTGGTCGAACTACACAACCAAAATATCTTCCATCACAAAGTGCACTTTCTCAATCGGACCATCCGTCAGAGCAATCGAGTAATGCTCTGTTTGGCAATACAAATATGTCGAAATTTTTCGACTTTCATAAAAATCAACAACAGATACACCAGGTAAAAAAAGTTAATCTAATAACGAATTTGAATTTTAAACAAATTTTCTTTTTAGCAATTTGGCATTAACGCAAATGGATTGGGAACACTGAATGAACAGTTGCGTATTGCATCATTAATTGAAAATAATCGGATTAATTCACAATTTTTAGATCAGACACCAAATAGTAAGAGAGTGCATTCAATATAAAAAAGATTTTTTTTAAATAAAAGTTTAATTTTTATAGGCCTTATGTTGCATCAACAACAACAATTACAAAAGCAGCGATTAAACAGCAAATATGATGCCTTGGTAATTTATATACTAAACAAATTCACGCTCTTGGTAAACTAATATATTATTGTAATTTAATAGCAATCACAACAAAGTTCAGGCCAAAGTCAACAAACTCCGCAAAATTGTTTATCAATCCAATTTCCACCGAATAATTCGGTTGACGATGATTTAGGTAAGTATACATATATAACATATGTATATAAACTCTTCAGCGTAGCAATCAACAAATTATGCGATGCAATTCAGCATCATTTCGACTATTTTTTTAATACAAATATCCCATAATTGGTTTTATTTAACATCAAAGACTCGATATTTTAAGGGTTTACAAAAGAACACAATATTGAAAATTTTGTGAAAAAAACAAAAACAACTTTTTTCCATAACGGAAACGGAAACCATTTTGTATATTTAAACTTTATAAGTCAAAAAATCGGTTTTAGATTTTTTGGAAAGTAATTTCTATTTTCTTTTTTTAATAATCATTTTCCAGCATATAAACATATTAAATTCCATTTTGATTCAATACTTTTTGCATATTTCTGGTAGTAGTATAATATGATTCCATGCTCATAAAAACTTCTGATATTTACTGTCAAAAAACTGGTCCAAGTCATTTCTTATGTGTATGTATTCGAATTAGAAAAACTAATAATCCAAACGTTACAAAACTGGAAAGTATAGTGATTGTGGCTATACTGCAACAACCACCACTAGTATTATCTAAATTGTACTCTATACATTATTGTTCCATTGATTACAGTACCAAGCACTTAATAGAAAGCAGTCTTTTTGATAAAAATCAGTTTTCGATGTGCCATCTTAATCTATTAATATCCTTAGTTTATTATTGTTGTAGGCAAATATTTCTGTTATTGTTGTTGTAATATTTTTATTCCTATAGGTTTCGATCCATTTATTGAAACCCAGAAAGGACTAGCCGAGTTAATGGAGAATGAATTACAACAAAACACTTGTGCTGTTGGCAGAAGCACTACACCATCAGTGACTTCAAAGATGGCACATCAGCAACAAATTAGTCAACAATATTTCGACAATATGCAACGGGCCCGTATGCCTCCACCTGGGTTTAATCATATGAACGCATTTGGATTTGGAATGACTCGCCCTCAAAATGCAAATAAAATGTCACCATATATGCCTGGCGGTCTAACAACTCCATCAAATAATCAACCACCACAGAATCAGCAACAATTACAGGTAGGAAATTCGTGGAATCCACGCATGGCATCGTATCCACAGCAGTCATTAAATGATCATCGCGTTCACCAGATTTCTCAGAATCAGAACCACAACAATGGTAATCTTAACAAAGGTGCTTTTTACTATTCCTGTTTTGAATATTCTTTATATCATTTTTCTGATTTGCAGTACCTTACAGCAACAACGACTGGACTGCTATGGATCCAGCAATTCTTTCATTCCGTCAATTTTCATCGTATCCACAACAACAACAGCAGCAAGCTTCGCATCATCAGCATCAAGATGTTTATATGCAGCAGCTAACTAATCAACAACATAATCACCAAAGTATATTAATTCTTTTGAGAAATGTTATAGTTTATTTAATATTTATTATTTTTAGATTTTGGTAATCAACCACAACTCCTTGGTGGAATGAATATGCCTAATCCACTGCTTAATCCATCGTCATCCCAAACTCAAGTTAATGCCAATGTTCAAGGGATGTTGGAGTATCTCAAAAATCGTCAATTTATGTAATCACAACTAAAGTTCTTATTATAACATCAAAATTAAACTCAAGTATATTATGAGTAAAATATATGTACATACAGATAGAAATAAATAAATGAACTAAACAAATTAAAAGATATCTCCAAATTTACAATAATATGCTATATTTTTTATAGCTCTTAAATACAAATAGCTAAATACACGCCTGCACATAAAACAAGCCAAAGAAATTATAAAATTCTCTTGGCAACTTTAAGCATGTACTTTAATATAACTTATACAAATTTATATATAAAAGTGATAGTAATTTTATTTACTAACTGACTGAATAAAATATGCAATATATTAATTATAACCATTTAAACAAGGTTAATAAATATACATATAATTCAACTTACCACAATAACATGCAGTGTTTCTTAATACAAATTGAATTGTAAGCAGAATTTGAATATCGTGCTCAACATCAATTTATACATACATTTTATTGAACAATACAATAATTTATAAGACACGAAAAGTATTTTTATATGTCGGAGAAGAGCATATATAAAACTGTTATATATTCTACTTTTAAAAAAATCAAATAACGCAACTAGTGATGGGAAGATATTAATACTTAATTCTATTATTTCCATGGATATAAAGCTGTATGATCAGTTTGATAACATCAAAGGTAGGCAAGTAGATCATTCTATGTAATATACAGTATCGACGTCTAGTGATATACGATCAATGTTTAACCCTGTCATCAGAAAAGTCTAGTTTGTATTTGAAAGAAAATTAATTCCTTTTATTGGTTTGTGCATTGTAGCCAAATAGAAAAATAGCAAATTATAACTTTTATAAACACTGACCGCATATTTCCTGACTTAATGACGGGCTCAAGGCCGTCGGCAATATATTATTTTAGATTAGGTCGGCGATAACAAGGCCGGATATGGTTCACTCCACACATTGTGCGCGCATAAAGTTCGTGCAATATTAATACACGTGGATCCGTTATGAGGTGGTACATTTATTGTCAGTTTACTAACCATTTTAAATAATTATTGCCTACCTGATATTTTAATGATCAAAAATATTATTTAAATCAGCTTATACCGATAATTACTAACAATGCCTAGTAATAATTAGGTACACTAATCTTTTAACATACGCTCACATTAAGGCAATCTAATCTTTTAGCATCTGTCTATATTAGTTCTTGTATGATAGTCTGATCTCTTACAATACCCACTCACGCTAACATTTTGGAAATGATGAGAAAAACTTCCAGAATGGTTTTTTGATAAATCAGAAATCCACAGAATGGTTTTGGATTAGAAAGAAACCGACTGTCAAAGCCTTTTGTCGTTATTGAAGAGAAGATCACGAATGAACTTTAAGAGACCAAGTAACTGCTAGCTACTTGCTTTCTATAGGATTTCAATCAACTGTAAGACCAGCCCTCTACTTAAAGACTGTTTGAGGCTATACTAAGATGTCTAATTGATTATAAACTCAATCAACATGTCTTGTATGAACATAATAGCCTAATGTAAGCAACCTAAATGTAAAAATAATCCAGTGTGTACTGTAACATATTTTTACTTAACTTGTGAAGCTAGACCATATCAGATATATACTAACTTCAAACAAATAATTGCTATGCTAGATAGTAGTTTTCAAAAAAGTTGCACAATCTAAATCTTGCGATTGAAAGATAAATAACCGAAATTAATGTCTGATGTAATGAACTCAACAGTTTTACTACTAAACTAGACAAAAGGTGTTGTTATAACATGAGAATACAGTTCCACTTATTTCTGAAGAATGGCTTGAATATCTAACTTCATTTGATTTCGAAAGTATGGGCATTCAATAGTGATTAAAGTTTTAATACAAGGCATAAAGCAAAGCAATGTTGCATATAAGTTTCAATCATCAGAGCCCTATATTCTGCATATTCAAAACTTAAGCTCAGGATATAGGAGAACACCGTTCTATGCGGATATTGATACAATTCAAGATAAAATATTGAAAATTGAAAATATGTTCGCAGTTGCAAACATAGATTTTAAGTTTATTAATAATGAATAATTATTTATTAATATAAACAATCGGCGCGGAATTACACTTCTCGGTATGGTCAACATAATTTTAGGACATATATTTGCCAAAAGTTTTTGCGTAACTAATAAGCTGACTTCAGACCGAATAAATACTGCATTGATCACGTCAACAATAGAATAGTCATTAGAGTGGCGTATACCCTTTTATATATGCTTTGTTAATTTTGAAAAAGCCTTCGACAGATTCTTCATTACGCGATATGTTACACACTGAGATGTAGAGGATTTCCTGAAAAAAATAATAATTTAGTACGCCGTTTGTATGTCAACGCGAGCTGCAGATTGTTGATTGAAAAAAATCTCAGTAGAAGAATCCCGAGTTGGAGTTGCAGTAAGACATGGTTGCGTACTTTTCCCGCAGTTATTCAATCTCGTCCTTGATAAATAAGAAAGCAACAGGTGATGGTAGAGGCATAACGTGGGGACTAAAATAACGACTAGGAGACTTTGATTATGTCAATGACATTTGTCTTCTAGCCCAGTCTTATGAGGATAATTTAGAAACACTCCGCAAGCTTTCGGGCACACCTAAACTTGTACGGCTTAAAATGAAATGTGGAAAAATAAAAACACTTCGCATAAATGTGACCAATCAACAACCTTTTACTATCGTTGGTAATAGGTTAGAGGATTTTAATAATTTCTGCCACCTTCGCAGTATTATTACCAGCAGTAAAGAAAATATTGCGGTCTTCGCTAATCGCATCCAAAAAACAAGCGTAAGAGCGATTGATGCCAGTACGTAAGTCTCAAAGAGAACGAGAACGGTTGGTTCATACATGGTAAAATCGGTAAAACCTCTTTCTCCTGGTATCTTAAGTTGGAAACCGCTGAGAAAATGCAATGTGTTGAATGATGGAATAAAGAGTTTATATTTGTAGGTTCCTACACACCAAAATAAAAACACCGCAAATATCATTGCAGTATTGACACAGTTTTTGCTATTGACATCACAAGGCCTAAATTTATTATCCTGATCGTTATATATGTATATTCATATATACAATTTACTTTATTTAAATATTAAATTGCTTTTATTTTTTCTAAATAATACAAAATAATTATAAACAATAAGTTGTCTTATTTAGAAATTATTTACATACATTTAACATTTTCTTAACAACATGTAATATATCCAATTCTTTAAATGTATCAAGTTTCGGAATTTGTTGTGATTGCTGCAGGTACAATATGTTGCCTGTTAGGCGGCACTAAAACCTGTAGTAAGGTATCCTTTTTTTCAGCTAGTTTAAAAGACTCTGGTATGGCGACTTTATCTATTTGTGTAGTATCGTCAGTAGAAGATAGTTTTGATTCTTTAGAAATGAACCACTCTTTTTTATTAAATAGTAATAACAACATCAATGCAGGCAGGTGGACGAGCGAAAATCGAAATAACTTACGCGAAGTACCACTGTCAGACTTTTGGTAAAATTTGTACGCTATAAAAAAATACAATAAAATAAATATTTATAAATTAGTAAACTAATTAATATAATTAATAATAATTTTATATAACTATTAAAATCTGTTATACTGTTAATAGAATATAAAAAAGCGTAATACGTAGATCAGAACAATTGTTAAGTTTATATCGTCCCAATAGAAAAAAAACCACAAGAGACGGAACACAAATAAATTTGGTTTAAAAATTATATTTGCTACGCTATATGACAAAAAATATAATTTTTAGCACACCGAGTGTATGTATGAAAGGTTACATTTCAACACATTGTCATGTTCTGCTTTAATCATGACAAAGATATTGCAGTATAAAGGATTGATAATTCTTACCAGTAGTTGACATCAAAAACTAATCCCGCATTAATATAATGTTAATGTATTCATGATACTACGATGTTGACTGATGTAAGCGTCATTTTAGACAACCCAAAAAGCAGGCATATACTTATATTGCTATTTATCTTTTAATTCATTCATGCTCCTGCTCTTATGGTTATTATTAGAATTACGAGAATAACAACAACTACATTGTATTATATAGTAATCTTAAGCAGTTTAACTCACCTAAATAAATAAAATATATATTAAGAGGTAATGTCTCCAAGGCAAACCAATTGTTTGTTAAGTCGCAAAGTGGCGCAACCATAGATAAGCCAGCAATTACAAATGTGTATCTTAAAGCTGTTCGTCTGCATAAACCCGGATGTGAAACAGCCATCATACGATATCCTGCCCGTTTATAGTCTGGACGAAGATTCCAAGACAACGCGTTGAAATGTGGGAATTGCCATGCATACAGAAGACCTGCTAAAATCCAAGCACCACTATCTAAAGTTCCAGTACATGCGGCCCAACCCATTAAGGGAGGAATAGCACCAACTACTGAGCCTACCCATGTATTCAAAATACTTGTCCGTTTCATTGGTGTATATATGGATGTATACAATATAAAATTACTTAACCCTAACGCGGCAGTGAGCCCGTTTACACCAAAATAGAGCATACTAAGGCCCATTGATGCGCAGGTGATGGCAAAGCCTACTGCATGCAAACGAGTTACTTTTCCAGTGACAAGAACGCGATGTTTTGTTCTTGCCATTTGGGCATCAAAAGGTACTTCGTGATACTGATTTATTGAATTTGCCCCTGCCGATAAAAGTCCTGTACCTAATGTGCATAATAAAAATGATGTTATATCAAATGGCATAGGTGCCATAGCGTAACCCCCCACTGCGGTCAATACAACAAGCGCTAAAATCAATAATGTTATTTTTATATTGTGAATCAAATACAAAATCTTACATGTTAATCGAAACTTTGATAAACCTTTATAATGACTAATTAAGCTCCTAAGATCATTATTTGGCGTTTGTACACAAATTGTGTCTTCTTCAGTAGATTTTTTACTTTGCGATGTTTCTGTTAGTGGCAATCGTACCTCCTTTATAGCAGTAGGTGCATTATTGGTTAATGGATCATATTTATGTTGAGAGTCCGACAATGTGGACATGCGAAGAAATTGCGAAAGCGGCCCTCGACTGATATTCTATACAAATAATTTATATCACAAGCAAGTTATTTAATACATATTAAACTTACTTTAAACAAAATATTCTTACAGCTACGAATCACCGCAACTTCGTGCGGTAATATTTTAAGTCCAGTTAAACGAATCATATTTATTTAGAACAAGTAAATTAATTCCTTATTATCATGCTGGTCTAGTTAAGATATTTGATTTTATGTGCCACACAATTTAAGAAGTTTATTATTTTCGCACATCACATCATTGTTTTGTAATAAGTGAACAAAATGGAACGAAAACATAACAACATTCTGTACACGAGAGTGAAAAAAGCACCGGTCCCAAGAACAGGAATAAATAATTTGAGAACGAAACAGGTTTTCTTATTATATTTACATTTACACCAATAAATTGCGTGACGACAAAATCCTCCCAGATTTTGTCAATTCAGTACAATATACCTTAGCATACAATATATACAAATTAGATAATATGGCGTTTTCAAAGCCATTTGAAAGTGTTTACATTCGTTGTATTTCATTTGTTCTCATTTCAAACAGCTGATTTTTCAACTTGCGTGTTGATTTGATTTTTGGCCTGTGCCAAAAAAATGTTGCATGAAAATCAAATATACTTTCAAAGCTTAAAATATACACGGAAACATATTTTTAACTTCAATTAATTACCTTTTAGGAAGTAGAAGTTCCAAAAAGAGGTGCATCATTTTCAAAGAAATGCAGTCACCAAACATTTGTTTACCTTTTTTTGTAAATATGTCAAAAACAGCTTTCTCAAACTGTCAAAATGCCATGCAAAGCTTTTATTTACGGTATGTTCAACGAATTCCTTTGTATTTGGAACATATTTAGAACGCATCCGAACGTCGTTGGATTGCATTCATATAGAATGTATTGAAATGGAATGTATTCGCGCTTCAAATTTTATATGCAAGAGCCATTCGCTTCTCATTTTCGATTTTTGACCAAAATAAGCCATTTTTAGCCAGTGTAAATGCCGTATAAGTAATAAATAGCAATTTAGTACCTTTTCACTAACCTTTTTTCTTTAAATGCAAAAGAATACTAATAAATGCAACAAATTGAATTTCTTTGAAATATTCTTGTACTAGTTACTTCAATATTCAAAACATAAAATATTCATAAAAATGCTACAACAAAATTGCCTGAGGTACAATTTTTAAAACAATAATTGAATGTTGTATAAATATACAATGTATGGGCTTATAAATATTCAATACCAATCACACGGATAGTTATCCTATTTTAACATAACTTTCACCATTAATAACAAGCGAAATTACCGTCTGTATTAACACGCAGTACAAATACTAGGAAATAGCTTAAATCCCTCTTGCCAAAATTAGTATAAAAGGAAATGCATGGTAAGACAGAAATCAATATATCAAAGAGAGAGTCAATCGTAAGAAGCTTTAATTACAGAATCATTCATTCAGAGTTATTTTACTTTTTTTTGTTTTTATTTAAATGACCAATTAGTCTACCCATAAATAATTATAAAAAAAGAATATATATAATTATTTAGAAGTATAAAGGCAATTTTTTAAATGCTTTTGTTAAAGCTAATAATTTAATAATAATATAATTTTTAATAAACTCAATTTTTTTAAATTTAACATAACATTTTTCAATTGAAAACTGGTGTCCTCACGAATAAAAAGTTATTGCAGCGACTTTGGACAAAGGTTAAAGATACGCCAGCAAAATTATAACGAACCGAAAAATCCGTGGCGTTACACACGTCTGTAGTGATTGAAGCTGCAAATGGGTGACAGCAGTGAAGAGAGTTGTCTCCTTTCTCCGGCCGGTGGTCATCGATCAGCTCTTAACAGGTCACACTCTTGCGATTTGTATGGAATCTAAAAAATCAATAAAAAAAGTAGCAAGAACACATACTGCATTTCAATGGGGCCTTAACATGAAGATGATGGTTGGAATATATCAGGCAGTAGTACGTTCTATCATGACATATGGTTGCCCAGTCTGATGGCAAAAGGATCAGAATGTTTCATGTCTTTTAATGACTGACGCTGTGAGGACTGGTCCAACTGTAGCACTTGAAGCTCTACTTGAGCTGAGTTGAGGCCGTTTGATTTGGTACCCAGATGGATCAAAAATGGTTGGCATTAGTGCTGGTGTATCTGGACCCAACACTAAAATTTGGATGGCAATGGGCACATGTCCGATGGTCATCCAAGCTAAAATTCACGCAATCAATTTATGCGTACGAATTAACATCATTAAAAAGTCGTCTGGCTCGAAAATTGTTATTTACTTTAACAGCCAGATAGCTCTTAATGCTCTGACTTTTCAGACATGCAAGTCGAAACAGTGTTATGAGTTCCTACAGGTACTTTCAGCTCTGAACAAAGTGAGTCTTTATTGGGTTCCGTATCAGAAGGGAGTTTTGAGAAATGATAAACTAGCCAGAACTGCATCAAAAACTGGTTTTGCAGGCCCGCAACCTTTTTGTGGGTTGAACGGAACCAGTACAAATCAAATCATATAAGAATCATATGTGACTGGTGTATTGGAAAGATTAACAGGATTTAGACAAAACAAAGCACTGATCAACCTGTACTCCTACAAAAACATTCTTGAAATCTCAAAAGGCGATTTAAGGTTGCTACGGGTATTATTAAGGGTCATTATAATTTAAAATATCACCTACATAAACTTCAATTATCTGCTAATTCGGAATGCAGATTATACTTTGAAGATGAGGAAACAGCTATGCATATTCTTTGTAACTGTCCAACTTTGAAGACGCACAGAAGAAACTTGTTAGTCAAGACTCAAGGAAAAGATCCATCCATGAAATTGGTCCTACTGATGTTCATTCAGCCAAGAAGCGCGGAAGAAGCGTATGTCAAACGCTTTTAAGTAAACTTGATGTATATGACTTTACCAAAACACCCATTAAAAATATTACAAGGCAGTAGATATGCTAGCATAGCCAAAATCTTGCGAATAGCTAACCTTCCGCAATCGTGGACGAAGACAATTCTCTCGAAAAAAGAAACAGTGATGAACTTACCACGTGTACCGGGGACAACATACCGAGTGTTCATATGATGACGGTCTTCCTCTAGAGGACCAAAGGTGTCGGAACGGAGAAGCTGCTGAAACCACTCTCCATGCAGAATGAGGGTCTGCATATTGAACTGTGGAGAGTATTCAGCAGCAAATATTTGAAGAATGGCAAACTCCTAACGATCGGGATTGACAACTGGTCACAGGAGGTCATTAAAACTCCTGTAGATTCCTCTACAGGTTCAGCTTCGTGCCGGTCCACGTGCATAAGGGATGGACATTGATGCTTTAAATCTCTTTCTACTGAACCAAACGTCTGCAGACAACTCGAACAGAATCTCTCTATCACACATTGATGATGGTCTGGCAAAAGAAGGAGGGAATAATCAAAAGATGACCACCACTAGTATAACTTTATCTATCTTTCAAAATTTCTCTCCAGGGACCTCGTTGTCAAACAAACTCCAGCCAACATCAACAAAGCACTGCGGAACGTGGTTGTAGCAACAGGCTATCTACACCCAGGGGCAATCTGTAAAAGGCAATAAACTACTGCTGGTGGACTACTGCGAGAGGACGAAAATACCACTTATATTTGGTTGCGATTCTAACGCGCAGAATGCAGTATGGAGAAATAAGAACACCGACACATGATAAATTCTAGAATTTATGAAAAGTAAGATATTGAAAATACTTAATGTAGACAATACACTAACATTTGTAACTAGCTTACGCAAAGAGGTGAGCTAGTTAGCTAGGAAATACTCGAGATTGTGAGCTAGTGGGGAACTGAAGAGTATCCAATGAACCTTCTATATCTGTTGAGAGAATATTGAGCTTCGATATTGAAGGCCCACCAATTAACAAGAGAAATATGAGGAATATAACACAAACAAATTGGGTCGCCTATGCAAAAAATCTGAATGGTAATTTTGTCCAATTAAGGCTAAGTTAAGTCATGCAGAATGAAATTCAACTAGAAAACAACCTAGAAAACCTCAATAGAGTCATATTAAATACATGTGAGGACAGCTGTTCACTTAGCTTGATTAATTCCACCAAGAAATAATAATCTAAAATATCTAAGAATCGGTATCGAACGACCAGTTAACTCGAAAAGAACAGGAAACTAGTCACAATATAGACACCATCCTACATTGTATAAGAGGTAGATTAGGGCTTCAAAACGCAAGCTTCCGAAAACATAGAAAGGACAACGGAGATGCCAAAACTCTACAAGGTGCTTTCAAAAGACAGTTGCCTCACTTCCACTAATCTTAAGCGAGAAGATGGACCGAATCACACAGAACTCCCTAGGATAATAAAGAGGGAAGAAGGAAAGACTGCTAAAAATATAGTCACAGTGCCTAGAATCAGATGGACGACCAACTCGCTCGAAAGACTGAAATTTCCAGGCACTGATGGCGTTTTTCCAGCACTACTTCAAAAATAAATTGATCAACTCCTAGGTCTGACAACTCGAGTTACTAGAAACTCCACTGTACGATCGTCGACATGCTTATAGGACAGATCGGTTGACAGAAATGACCCTGCTTCAGCTAAGTAGCATGATTCAGAATAGTATAAAAAATAAAGAAATAGCAATTTGCGCTTTCTTAGATATTGAAGGCGCCTATGATAAAGCTTCACATGAGGTCATAAACTCAACTTCTTGTACAAGAGACACCAACACCATACTCTCGTGCTGGATGAGCAATATACTCTGTACAGGGAGATTGTACAAGTCGGTACCTTGTACAGACAATGTCATTGCAAACACCTTGCAAGGGTGCCCGCAAGTGGGAGTTTTATCACCCCTAATGTGGAATATGATAGTAGACGAACTGTAGGTAAAACTGGATAGGAATGATTTCCTATCCTATGTCGTATTAATGTACAGACGTACTTTGTGCGAGAGAATCTAATTAGGCCTAACACTAACAAAATAATCAGTAAGAACAACTGTTGTTCCATTTACGAGGAAACTTCTTAAACTCATCCGCTTAAATAGTAATAAGGAAAATATGATAACATGGTACACAGACGATTCCCTCACTAGTGAGGGAGCTGGAGTTGATATATATGGATCAGGTAAAAAATACTCAGAAACATTAGGAAGAAATGTAACCATCATTCAAGCAAAGATATATGAGATAGGTAGATGTGCAAGCTTCAACCTTGAACGCAACTACTCGAGCCCTGGA